CGACCCACATGAATGTCCTGCTACCCAAGTCAGGCAGGATCGGACCACTTGAGTTCAACGGGATCCATGGGCAGTCCTGCAACTTGGGGCATGGAGGTGAATTAAAGGATCGAGGTTGCATCGAGCGGGGCCGAGGATCGTCTAGCTGCGGTGACCTCGCTTTCGACGACTTGGACTACCATCCCAGATGCGTCTTGCTTTGCTTTACTTCCTTCCCCGGCAGTGAGATTCGCTACAATAATCCAGTCACATCAGCAATGCACATAAACAGCTAAACAACCATTGACCAACGGCGATTTCGCTAACACGCCATATGGGGTTGCGTTTTTTAGGGTACCCAATTGACAGGAAATAAAAAGGACCCCCCCCCTTCCATTCGAGGGCTCCCCCTATTTTGCCACAGCCACAAGCCCGAAATAATACTTCCAAAACTTCCGCCCAAGGCGAACGAAAGGCGTGCTCGCCGCCTGGTTATGTTCAGGGCCTGCGCCAGAGCCGGCAACAGCAGCAGGCTGAGGCCTGATCTGAGCTGTCAAAATTACGAAGATTTCCCCAGGAAGACATTGCCTTTTGTCTGACTCCCCAAAAAAAAACATGGGAGAAATTGAGATGAGCCGCCCATGTCCTTCCCAAATGGACCATAGACGGGACATCTTGGTTTCGTCCAGTGACCTTCACAAGAAGTGTGTTGAGTGCAAAAACCTGGAAGTGAGGCCAGGGAAATAGCGTGAATTGGTCAAAATGATTGGCGTTGCCTTCCGCATGCCTAGTTCTGCCACCAAAATGGTCCAAACCCAAGTGACGAAAGTCCATGAACTCAGACAGTTTCTTTCTGATCGCGGCGCAGGCTGCTCCAACTGTCACGCCCATCACCCGCTTCACATATGTCAACAAGGGAAGCTCTGGGTGCCCCAGGGAACGCATTGATCACTCGAAACCACGGACCAAATGTTGAGGTTCACGGACCAAGCAACGCGTGGGTTGCTTGAAACCCCTGGCCACGTTCTGACGTTGCCCCACAGCTGGTTGCCTTGGTGGGAGGATTCTCGCAAGAAAACGAATTTGAAACCGCGCAAGGCAAAGAATCCTGTCTGTTGTGATAGCCTACAACTTGAGCCATCTTTGAGACCGTAGACAGGGTGCTCGAGGCTGTTTGACGCACCAAATCACACTGGAAACGACCAGTGTCAAAAATGTATGCATGTTTCCTCAAAGGAGGCATGGCCTGGACAACGTGGTGCTTGGTAAGCTGCCTGCCGGTTCCTTTGAATCGAACCTCTCACAAGCTTACACGGCTCTCCCCGGCTCCCTGCTCTTGGCGGCTTTGCATTTGCCCTAGCCCTGAACTTCGAGCCGGCGGCCCATGGAGCAGAAAGCCTTGTGACCTAAGTCGACATAGCAACGGATCAAGTCCTGGGATCGCGTCATGTCTCCTAACGAGAATCCGTCTTTCGGCTAACATGAAATCCGAAAAGGACCAAAGGCGAAACTAGCTGCAATGGTGAAAGGTGGCTTGACACGTTAAGGGGTGCCTGGGAACAACACAACATCCTAAATATGTGGCCTGAGAAATCACCATTACTCAGTTTGCAAGCTTTTACCAGTGGTGTCATTCAAAATTATGTTCCAGAATGGAGAGCCATCTTGCAACGGCTAGACAACTATACGTTCTACTAAAACATAGCACAGCGGTGTGGCCATGGACATGCCTACGGTTAACCTTCATTATTTCCTCAACTGATCTGGGAGTTTGGTGAGTAACTCCCTTCATGTTCTGGTTTTAAATTGGGGGTGTACCCAATGTCGTGCTCTTCACCATGGTGAGTATTGAGCGGTACTTGCTGCGCATGGCAAGCAAGCTTGTTTTGATGCCAGCCCCTAGTGAGGTAGCATTGGTAGTTTTGGGTCCGAGTTAGTGAGCTTGTCCGACTTGCGCTTCTTGGCTGGCCATTTGCACATCCGCTCGTTGGCTCATTTGCTCATCCCTAGCGAGCCAGCCAGTTGGATACCATGCATCCAGCCCTGCAATCGCGTGCGCTCAAGAATGCAGGTTTTTCAGCGTGTAACGAGCGGGAGGCATCTCCTCCACCGTAAGGGTGCTGTGCATCAGCACGCGCCCTGGACTGCACGCAGATAAAACCTCGAAGCTGTCAGACGACATGGTGACATGGTGACCTTGGTTTCTTGGGGGCCTTCTGTTTGGCCGCCCAAAAGGCCTCCGGTGTGCCACTTCTGCGACATGTTCGGACTCAAGCAGTCCAGGACTCGAACGACTCTTTCGATATCTTGGGCGGTTGACTCGCCCACTGCGCGGACTCTATGTCTCGCTTCGCGCCAAAGGCGGCGAGTGTCTTTAATGTTGACCCTGGATTAAACCTGGCGGATTAGCGGGGCGGTGTCTGTACATGTGAAGGAATCTATCTAACATGAGACACCCCTCCAATTGGTGTACGATGCAGCAGAGTGGACGAGTGGACAAAAACAGCAAGCCCGCTCCATCTCAAATGGTGAGAGTCAAAAGAAGTTTGAGCTGAACCTGCTTTGGCTTTCATTGCGACTGGTTGCACAAGTACAGAACATCTTCCTGAGTAGGGAAGAGGCTTAGACCCTGCTACGAATTGATCGGTCCTATCTCTGAGGACCTCCTTGACCTGAAAGGGTGTAGGCTGCCAATGGCAAAATGTACCATTTTGATCCAACTATAGCTTGCCTGGCCTGACCGCAGAGAGCAAAGCCACTCACATGTCTGAACGGTGCAGGTAGGATTGCCGCTTTCTGAAGATGGCGTCCATTCTCCGATTTGGCTGCCAAGCTGAGACACTTAAACACCGGGTCGCAGAACGATGCGCCGAGCCTCAGACGAGCAAGGTCGCCTCTGTGCATTTCTCGGATTGAAGCCCTGCGTCACACAGCAGCTTCAACGTGTGGTCATAATCCACCTTCTCCGCCCAGCCCTTTGGCCCCACCTGCGCAAGAACTGCGTGCAAATGTGAAGTCAGCAGTGCCCGAACCCATTGACTTTTGGGTTGCCCAGCATGACCATGAAGATAATATGACATCAGCTAAAGCCCACGAAAATGGCCGGTCGAGGTGTTGGGCGCTCAAGTTCAAAAGGACTATGTTTGAACCCCTGGGTACACCCCTGGAATGTTCATCGTTGGCTAGGCCTTAATTAAGCCCTGGTTGAGGCTTACCTTTGATTTCGCCGATTTCTGTCTCCAAAGGCCATTTTACAAGGACCCCTCATAATACAGAGAAATACGTGATTTGATTGATTCCGAAGCTCACTTTTGTCATCGCAAGAGCCCCCCTCAAGGCTCAATTCCTGCAACGCGGATTGCCTCGCAGAACCACCGCTGGGATTGATAATCAATCGCTGGAGCGGCTTCCAGTCAGAACGGGCACCTTCAAATGTTGCAAAAATGGCGAAGTCACTGTTGGTGTTGGCAACTTTTGAAGGGCGCGCGGTCTTCAAACCACAAGCTTGGGTTTATAGGGTTTTAAGCCACAGATAGCCACCGGGCTGGGGTTCATTGGGGTTTTCGGCCACAGATTTTGGGGTTCATAGGGGATTTCGGCCACAGATTTTTGGGGTTCATAGGGGTTTTCGGGCACATTTTGTGGCAAGTTTCCTGTATGAACCCCAGTTTTACAGCCCAGGTTGACACCGAAAACCTTGAAGACGTTTGCCAAACGCGAATCCCACCATGTGCTAGGCCCGCTAGCGCTAATGATGAACACATGGCTGAGTGGCCAGTTTTCTCTGGCCGGATACCAAACCGCCTCCATCGAGCCACACTTGCGCGGCAGTCAATTCTCTCAAAGGGCAAACCGGTTCGCGTGCCAAGTGCTTTTCACCGACCGCCAAATTTTAACCCATATTTAGCGCCCTTTTCATTTTAACCTATAACTATGAGACCAGGTTGTGGGGTTTATCCAGGGGTTCAAGCATTGGACTCTTGACAAGTGAATAGATGTGGGGACTTATGGCCACCAGCCACTTTGGGAGTTTGCCCATTCGTCATAGTCACCTCCACTGGATGCAGGCGCCGTGAGCAAACTCCAACTGCAAAACATGGCACTGGCACACTCAGACAGGCAGTTGGTCCAAGCCTGATATCGACTCATGCAGAAAGACCAAAGAAAGCGATGAAAGTACATGCTTCATGCTTTAAAACCAAAAAGTTGGCTTCCGCCCAGCTACCTTAAGTGTTCTAATTGAGCCGCCTTCTACTTTGCGTCACCCTGCATCGGACGCTGGCGAATGCCAAGGCTATTGGCTGGCACGTAGTCAAAGCAAACCTCTGAGACGAGCATCCTCAGGCGGAGCTATTCCAATTCTATTTCTGAAAGCCCAAGCGAGGGCTTCATGAACCCACGTTTAGGCTGTTGGTTAGGCCTGAATTCTGACTGAAAAAAACACTGTAATTTTTGATGCTCGGGTCTGAGCAATCTTCCGCGGAACGGCGTGTCGGTGGCGCTGCAGCTGTTTCCTATCAGCGTTCCCCCCCTTGCGTGAGAGACGAGCGAGATCCCAGATTAACGAATCGTCTCAGCCACCAATTGAGGTCAAAATTGTCAAATCCGCATGCAAGGTTTGCTGAAAGCATTCAAGCTAGTGGAGCTGTAACCCATGACCGACCAAAAGCAAGGGATTGTGTCTTTCTAGGGATCTCGTGACGAACCCTCACCGAGACATATATATATATATGTATATGTATATATATATATATATATGTATATGTATGTGTATATATATATATATATATATATATATATATATTATCGACATACATATATATATATATATATACACATATATATATATATATATTGGACCTATGTTGCTTGTTCTGAATGACAGGTCGAGAGAGCACACTCGATGTAGTTGTCCAGCTGCAAGTTTCGGGGTGCTTCTACCGATCTGCTCCTTATCAAGACTTGGTGCTCCATTTTTGTCACGGCTGTAGACGTGGAGCTTCGATGTAAGATCTGGTTCTCTATTTACACCAAGAGCAACAACTCCAAGCCCGAGACTGTTTGCTGCGAAGCCTCGACTGAGCGGCTTCCTGTTCCAGCTCCTGCACGCGAGCTCGCAGAGAATGGACTTCCTGAGTCAAAGAAGCCACCTCGGCGAAGTGATCCTGCAACCAGGTCTTCTGAATGGAGATCTGACCCCCGAGCAAGAACTCCAGCACGCATGAGCCCATGCTACAGCTCAGCTGACTCCAGACCTCAATGCCCTCCCGGATATGACCACCCAATCCAGGAACCAAATTCGCACGTCGGGCGCCAGTTGCGTGCGAAGGGCATGGTCGATGATACAGAATGAAAGGCTTCAGTACTCGGAAACGCCTCTCCGCCACCGCCCCCTCAAGGAAGCGGGCAGCATCATGGTGGGTTCTCTCCTTCGCCTGCTGCAAGGCTGTCTTCCCAGCGCGGTCCTCTATAGAGAGGTCTGCCCAAGCATCAACCAAGTACCTCAAGGCAGCTACGTGGCCGGAGGCTGCCGCATAATGAGCCGGTGTCTTTGCGTTGTAGCGACATCGCAAATCAGCGCACGAGCCCTTTCTCACTGTCATGGCAAGGGCCTCTACACAGCCCGCCTCTGCACAGTAATGGATTGCAGCAAGGCCGTTTGTCACCTCGCAATTGAAGTATTTCGGAGGAACAACATCCAACCACTTAAGCAGGAAAGAGGAGTCCAGGGTTTGCCCTGGATAAGGAGAACTCATAATTGTCCGGAGAGGACATCCACCGAACGCATCCCCTGCCAGCAAATTTGCACGCTTGCTGACCAACAGTTCAAACGCATCGAGCTTTTCAGCATGCACAGCATGCGCCGCAGGTGTGAAGCCGTCTATGTCTTTGGCATTCACACGTGGGCTACCTGTACTCAGCGCATGCAAAACCTCCAGGTTCCCACTCTCTGCAGCCTCCCATATTGGACGAATACGTTTAGATGCGGCGCGTCGCTTCTGGCGCTCCTCCTCTATCCGACTGTGCCCAATATCGTCATCGCTTAGTGCGGTTTCCAACATCTCCAGGTCATACTCTGTAAAGTCCAAACACTCCATCAAGCTGCGAGCCGGCCGAACCTAAAGCGCTCAACTCATGACAATGATGAGCCAAGACAAGCACACACAGACAGCATCCCGCGCTGAAACAGACCTGACATGCTCCTGTAAATCTCCCTGCGGCTTCTTTGGCCGGAGAGCAAAGAACACGCACGGATGGCACTGGTCAACAAAGGCCACTGGCGCCAGACCAATCACATCAAAGACAGGAAACACCGGCTCTTGCGGAGCTATCACCAGCGCACCGGGCTATTTCTTGGCTTGCCCAAACATGCCCGGCTGGCCAGGCCAAACCGTCCAGCTGTTGCTCTAGTGTACGGAGCACAACATGAGGCATCCAAATCCGTAGCGCCCTCCCCAAACACCAAAAACAAACAGAGCAAACACAGGGGACAAAGGGCAAACAAAAAAAAGGGGACCAAACAAACGTAAAAGCAACACATAAAATAAACAAACAAAACAATAAACAAATTCAACAACAGACAAATCAACTTCAACAACACCAACAACTCCGTCTCACGCGGCTGTCCGCCTCTAAGCCGTTGATGTACACGTGGGGAACGCCGAAGGGCCCGAAGCCCGCGTGCGAGAACTCGGGGTAGCGCGTGGTGAAGTACCGCTCCGCCTGCGCTCGCGCGAGCGCAATGCCAAGAACACTGACACGCAGACCTTGGGTGAGGGGGGTTCGTTGATGATTTCCGTTTCAGGCCCAAAAGGCGAAGTCCACAAAAATGGGGCATTCGCCCACAAAGGCCCAGTCCACACAAAGAAGCACCTGGGCTCTTCCAAAATGGGGCGCGGATGCCTAATCCGTGCTCCGTGGTGGGACACCACTGATACACGCTACCATCTGGCATGAGGATTAAGAATTGGTGTTGAACAACCCTGGCAGAATCTTCTTTCAACAAACGACTTTTGCATTGGGTTGCCGGCTTGCCTGTGGTTTCCCACAACAGGGATCCTTAGATTGTACACCTGAACATTGCCTTGTAAATGGTGGTTTCCCCTTATTTTGGTGGAAAAAAGCCATGTTTCAAATGGGCAACATGTATGTTTTGAGGAGCCCTGCACAACAATCCCGAAAAGGATGCCATCAAACGTTCAAATTGTTGGGTGGTTGGACCCGTCTGGTGGACTGCAACTTCAGAGGGCGTTCCCCAGTGCCAGGCAAGCGGGTTGAGTGAAACTGGCACCGCGAGGCGGTGCAAAGAATTTGAGACAAAGAAGCGAAGGGAAAGTAACCTGGGTGCCAAGGGGGTCAGGAAAGAATTATGTATATATATATATATAGCTTCCCATTTCGTTGTCCTTTTTTAAACGAGAAATTGCGGGCTGCTTAGCACCCAGTAAAGAAAGGAAAGCTAAGCTAATAGGAGACGAAACAACTTTCCCCAAGAGGTGGTAGCAGGTCACACCCGTCACCCGACCCCTATGTTTTGGTTTCTTCAACACTGATTCCAAGCGCCATAATATGTTGTCGGTGTTCTGTGCTAGCATTCAGCGTGTACCACTCAGTGCATCCTGGCTATGAGACCGCCAAGGCAGGGTTCAAGTAGGGGATGGGATTGCCCGCGCTCATGCCTTGACATTGAAGCACGGCTTCTGCCGTGCCTCACGGTATGCTGAAAACTGGTTCCATGTTCCCTAGTGAGTTTAAAGAAAGGTTTCTTACTAGATTCGGTCCAAGCACAGATGAGATCACAAATGATAATTTCTCTCACTTTTCGTCACTGCCAATCTTACATGCCGTTCCCTTTTCAGGTTGGTTTGAAGGGACACCAACAGGAAAGCCGAAATCCGTTTTGGGGGGCCAAATCCCGTAGTTTGACGCATTCTCAGGTGCTAAGGCCTTGTTGAGGGGTTCATAAGGCCAAAGACCCCCCAAGGCATCCGAGACAGGCCCATTTGGATCCAGCCATTCTTTAACCAGCTATCGGCCCAAATCTGGGTACAACAAAGCATACGCCTCAAACCCAGCCATTGCAGGCAGGCAACCTTTTGAGTTGCCGTCTGTAGAATCCGAACATTGGCCTCCGAAGATATGTTTCCACACGTCATTTCCTCACTCACAGCATAGTTTTACCCTGACTGACTGACACTTACCAAAACAAGCCCCAAAATGGGAGCTTCCTTTTGGCTCCCCCTTCAACCGGCCCAAGACCGTCCTGAAAAGAACACAGGGACCTCACGGCTCCTTCTGTGCTGACTATAGGTGCCCGACCGCAAAACACGCGGATTTCCAGCTTGGACGTGCGTCATCTTCGAATCCCCTTGTTGGTTGATGATGCTGATGTTGAAAGGGAAACCAACAAAAGAATTCAGCACGTTGAAAGGCTCCACAACTTCATTTTGAGACTCATGTCCCTCGCATGTTTGGGGTGGAACCCCCTGGAAACCCGCAGGAGAACCATTTGTGTTTCGCCTCTTCCTGCAGCTTTTCGCCCTGCTGGCTGTAGCAGGTGCTGAGATCCGCCCAGGTGAAGGCGCCATCACTGCAGCTCTTTGCACGCTGCTCCTTGGTTTCAAGGGGCAGCACTTAGCCAACTGTGAAGCACTGTACCCTCCTTGTGCCCAGGAATCCTTTCCAGAGCATGGCCCAAAACAAGGAAGGTGGATTCAAAACAAAGAAACATCAACTTAAGCGGTAGAGCATGAGGCAAGGAAGGAGCCAATTGGCTGTTTGCGGAAGTTCCTGTTCACATGCCCTGTCCAAAAATGTTGCCAATGGCCCAACTCATGTTGAAGATGCGGGGCGCAGGGCTTCTCGAATGGCACCTTTGAATATCACCCCAAACAGGGGATGGGTCGCTCTGTATTTGAAGCACGAGGGTTGCCCCAAAACAAAATGCTGAAACGCACTCCTTGAAGCTCCGAGGGGCAATGAAATTTCTGGTGCCACGCCTGTTGCCTCCCAGTTGAACTACTCAAAGACCCTGAATTTGTCCCCACTAACATGAGGCTGGGGCTGGGATTGGGGCTAAGGGCTGCCTTCTCGTAAGGGCGATTGCAGGGAAAGAGCTGGACCCTCAGGTCATGCTTCAACCGGTCGAAGAGTTTGGGGGCCCAGAAAGGGCCAATGAGCCGGAACATTGACCAAGCTGCCCAAAGTTTCATTAAAGCCAAGCCCAAAGTGTGAATAAGAGTCTCTGTAGACCATTTTGCAAGGCATCAGGCGTTGCCCCCTGGCAATCTGTGTGACAGGGGGTCCCTTCAAGAAATCAATCTTTCAGGAACCCCCAAGTGAACAGGTAGAATCCGCCCACCCTCAGCCCGAAGAGGTTGCTACAAGTTAAACCTTTCACACCAGTGTAAGCGCCCAATTCCCTATTGTCTCTCATTCCCTCCAATAGTGATCCTGGCGCTGGTCATCCACTCAAAATGCGGAGGTTGTCAGGAGCCCCCATGAAACCCCACAACAATACTCCGTCAACCTTGCTTGTTCTCGGCGCTCTCGGCCCGTTTTATGGCTTGGCGATGCCCTATTTGGCGCCCCCCGCACCACCCAAACATTGCAGGATTCAGGGAAAGCCATTTGGCCAGTCACTGCCATGTTTGATCCTTCCAACATCCCTCGTCCCACCGCCGAGCGGCCAAGGTCGCCGCATCCAGGGGCTTCACGCTGGGCTGAGAGTTAAAGCAGGTCACGAACCTGAGGCGAAAATCCCCCGAGGTGGGCTCCACAGGTTTCTTCTCTTAAACATTGGCATGCTGGAGTCATCTTTATTTTTGAGCTCTTCCTTTCAGGTCATGGTGTGTGGCGGCACCTTTTTTCCTGTAGAATTCCCAAGCCCCTTCAAATGCCTCGGAGTGCACCTGCATTGACTAGCTCAAGCCCTGCGAGACTATGCGCATACGTGTATATATACATACATACATACATACATACATACATACATACATGCATGCATGCATGCATGCATACATACATACATACATACATACATACATACATACATACATACATACATACATACATACATACATACATACATACATACATACATACATACATACATACATACATACATACATACATACATACATACATACATACATACATACATTACATACATACATACATACATACATACATACATACATACATACATACATACATACATACATACATACATACATACATACATACATACATACATACATACATACATACATACATACATACATACATACATACATACATACATACATACATACATACATTACATACATTACATTACATTACATACATTACATTACATTACATACATTACATACATACATACATACATACATACATACATACATACATACATACATACATACATTACATACATACATACATACATACATACATACATACATACATACATACATACATACATACATACATACATACATACATACATACATACATACATACATACATACATACATACATACATACATACATACATACATACATACATACATACATACATACATACATACAACATACATACATACATACATACATACATACATACATACATACATACATACATACATACATACATACATACATACATACATACATACATACATACATACATACATACATACATACATACATACATACATACATACATACATACATACATACATACATACATACATACATACATACATACATACATACATACATACATACATACATACATACATACATACATACATACATACATACATACATACATACATACATACATACATACATACATACATACATACATACATACATACATACATACATACATACATACATACATACATACATACATACATACATACATACATACATACATACATACATACATACATACATACATTACATACATACATACATACATACATACATACATACATACATACATACATACATACATACATACATACATACATACATACATACATACATACATACATACATACATACATACATACATACATACATACATACATAC